ACGGGAGATCGTAGTGGCCGTTACGAAAGCACAACACGACCGACTACCAGATCTCGATACACGTACACACGGACACCTACTCGCTCTAGATACGATGTCGCAACCCGCAGTCCGACACGTTCAAGATATGAAACACCAACACGCAGCCAAACACGTTCAAGATACGATTCGGGGACCACTATCGCAACAAGAGCCGCAACACGTTCCAGATACGACTCTTACACAAGGAGTCCTACCAGTACAAGATATGAATCCGGTCCAGCTACGACCAGATCACGTTCCTATACGTCTAGGCCGGAGACACGAGCGACTCCGAGGTCCCGATATGAAATGACAACGTCTAGGTCCAACCGACAACCGACAACTCGGGAACCGTCACGTACCCGAAACGTTGCAACTACAGTAGATCCCAGATTCCAGAGAATAACCCCTAGAAGGTACTTTGCCACCACCGTGGCTCCATCAAGACCTGATAGTGGGTACGATTCCCGGGGAGAGGACGGCAGCGACGAGGATCCACCAGATTGCGGTTGTGAAGTCGTACGAAAACTGAGGGACGAAAACATAAAAATAAAAGACAGGTTGGATGCGATCGAGAAAACAATGAGTGATCTTGGCGAGACGGTGGTCAAGGTGGATTTGGATTCTGAAAACTGGAAGAGAAGTCTACGGTTCCCAGGACTGACCGCCATTAAGAGCCCAAGTAACATTGTCATGAGTGATGCCGTCATCAGCGACAGAAAATACAAAGGTAAGAAACATTGTCATTCCTGCTTAGAAAGCTACTCCAAGACTTAGATACCAATAAAATATCAGTACAAGCCAGACAATTCCGTTAAACAAAATCTCATCCAAAGTATGGCAAAATCGAGATTGAAAGTTGTGTGGTAGTGGACTCCTCCAAAGAGAAGTGCCATTAGGTGTTTCGAAAAGGAGTGGTACAATCAATATGATTGTAATATAAAGAAGTTTTCTGATTCTTTAATGTGACACTGATAGCATTAATTTGCACCATTCCAATTTTCAATTAGACGTCTGTGATTCCTAAAATTCCACAAAAATAAGGTTTTGATGACGTCACTAATCGCCAAGTATGCTTTATCACATCAGGACCTTCGTTTTTTAGAAAATCTCTTTACAATTCCTTTAAAATCAAATAATAATTTTAGGCTTCATTGAGCAACTACAAAGATTTTAATTTGGGTTCAATCAGATTGTTTTCGAGTCGATTTTTCAAGTTAGTATCGATATACTTTCAAATATAACTCATGTGAAATACCAATCTATAATAGGCGTTCGTTGCGTGGATAACACGATTCGACGCTGAACGTGCATTTTTCAGACAATCTGTGGTATTTATTTGACCTACAGCTTGCAGTGGGGTATTTTAGGCAGGTGTTAAAAGCTAAATGTATCAAATGAAGCTAGATTCAGTGCATGTTTCTGGTTATCAAAACATGCAAATCGTCTTCAGAAGATGTCATTGTTTCTGATCTTGAAGGAAAAGTTTCATGCAGTTCTGGTGAGAATTGTTTCCAGCTTGTCTTTCCAAGAGTGAAAATAACTGAATTTCCGTTTTTGCTTGAGTTTTAAATATCAATGTAGCAATATTAATTAATACATCACAATGACATTTCATTATGTCGCAGAAAGGAAGGTTGAATTAACTAATCCAATAATATAGTATGCCCGTTTTATAATACTGAAATTCAATAGTTTAAAAAAAAATTAACTCAAGCTTTGAAAGATGACAATATTTTTCTTTAAAGGGATTGTAAAGAGGTTTTTCTGAATATTTTAATATTTACCATTTTCTATATCTATGCAGTTCTCTTCTAGTGACGTCGTAATAGTTTTAATGGAATTGCAAGAACCACAGACGTCAGAATGAAAATTAGAATGGTGCAAATAGATGCTATCAGTGTCCCCAATACACATAAAATGTTTAGATAATCTCTTTACAATCCCTTTAAAGAAAAATGTGCACCGTTCTCCAGTTTACACTTTCACTTTTTATCAGAATATGCTGAAACTGGCGACTTTTCGACCTTCCAGATGCTACAGTATAAATTATGTTTACTTTACAAGGATGCCGAGTAATAGGGCGTTCCTTTTCCTTTAACCTTCTTCTAGTTGTAATGGTTAATACACTTAAATTAGGTGCACATTTTAAAATGGTTTAGTCATCTGATGATTCGCATTAGCATCTAAATTTGAACAATGGCAACACTTGTAACGGGCGTTATTGAGACAGGTCGAAATCTAGATTTGGTTCGGGATAGAGCAATAGCAGCAATCCGCAAATGCGGACGAGTCGGATATCGTGTATTCAGTATGCATCAATCTCTGCCCCTCCAACTCTCTCTAGAATCAATGACCGAAATTTTTAATCTGAGCCATCGCAATACTGAATTTGGCTGACTAGGTTAGGCAAGGTTTCATCTCGACCATCTCTAGTCTGATCTCTATGTGGCATCTTTGATGATGATGAGTGGTCCCTTTTAGACACATAAGCCAAACGTATATGCATTCAGTCTAGATTCTGCCCAATAACCTTCCTTACACTGACTATGGACGATTGCAATCTACAATATATATTAAAGGTGTTTTCCACTTCCATGTGTTCAAATAGGTCAACGATTTCAAACTAAGTCGAGTCATTCCAGGTCATAAGTATCTATAATATACAAGATTCCACTTCACAATATTTGTTTCTTTTTTACACTTCAAAAGAATAGTTTCTGTTAAGTTTGAAATACCTTACTTGTCTAATGCCCTCGAGGTTAAACTCAAACCTTCTTCATTTCTTTGGCACTGTGATGATTAACGATCAAAAAAGTCTGCATATTTGATGTTCACTGTGGCTATACATTTCTTGGGTGATTGAAATCTATGCCCATTGGGTTGAGTTGGTAAAAAATTTAAACCGAGTAGGCCCTTAGCTACAAGGGGATCAATTCCATTACTGCAACTAAACACCATACACCATTGCCCCTCCGGATTTATTACTTACCCCTCCGAGCAATCATGACTGGCTACGGGCCTGTAATCGTGGCTCGTTCTTTTCAAAATAAGTAATTAGTAATAGGTAATTTTAGTAAAGACAATTGGTTTTTCACCATATCTTAGGCTACTTCCGGTGCAACCAAATCTTAAATGAAATGTAAATATCTTATTGGATAAAAATTTAGTTATTGGCCAATCAGATGACTGGATGACTGAATCATCTTAAGAATTAGGGGACCGTTCCACAAAAAATTTAACTTTAAGAATTTGTCGAAAATGTAATAATTTACACTGTGAAATAGGCCCATGGGACTGGTTGAACCAAATCCACGAGCCCCTAACGCTAAAAAGGGGGTGGGGGGTATAGAATTTAAAAAAATGTACCATAGCAGGCCTACACAATTATTATCGAATTAAGCAACCAGTAGTTTATAAATGAGTGAAATAGCCTTAACTACAGACTGAAATTAACAGGCATTAAATTGACTTAGGCCTACAGAGTGGTCTCAGAATGCAGGTATAATTACGAACACCAATAGCACTCAATTTAATATTTCTGACCCATATTATTGAAATCCATAACATATGTCATCTGTTTTCCAGACGTTTCAGTTGTATATATACAAACGCTTTAGGTTAATCGAGGCTAAACATGGCTTCAAATGTCAGAGCGACTTTGCGCAATTGACACCAGTTGCTGACGTCATATCCTCTTCCTGTCTTAAGCGGAAGAAGTAGAAACAATCAGGAAAGGTCTCATTCCCATTTATTGTTTAGACGAGGTGATTTTCACCGCTTACTGTTTTTAAAATACACTTCATGGCCTTAATGAACGCACACTGGCTGATTTCCGTGGCTGGCTTCAGTACAAATGCTTTGTTTATTTGAATAAGAAATTTGGAAAACCCCGACGAAAAAATTCAAAACAACATTATGTATTTTGGGCGTTCAAAGAATTTGAATAAAGTAAACAGTTATGATATTTTGATTGTGAGTAATTTTCGTTGATTATTCATTGTTTTGAAAACACAAATTATAGTACCAAGGTTTTCTGGAGACATTTTGGCGCCTACCCTAAGTAAGATAACATAAACAAAACTATTATTTCATTTATTGGGGAATATTGTGTGAGTAGCCTAATTTTAAATTCTTACTAAAAGTTATACTATTAACTTAAAAAAATGACCATTAGGAATACCCTTTCCCTTTCTGTCCGTGGCGGCACCAGCCTTTCGAATTTAGGGATACAAATACGGGCAGACTGACTTAATAAGGCACAACGGTCGATGTTGAGATTCAAAATTCGGCAGGTATATATGATGAAGTACCATAGGCGCAATCACCCCCTGGAGTATCTTAAGAGGGTTTTCCCACAAGAAAATTTGGATTTGGGGCAAAAACGTATAAAAATTATATTTCTTAAATTTGTTAAAACTGAAGTGGGAAAGTGGTTTCGTGATGATGGTGTCTATTTTAGAACACAAACAAAGGCGTGTACATGAATTCAGAGTCCAATAGCCCGTATAACAAGATTTTTGCATATTTTTCACCATTATTATAATTTGAAATTTCAGTCATAATAGGTCATCAGTCCGTTCAATGAAATTTAATTTTTCAGAACATAACAGAGAGGTTGGGAACGACTGAAGTTTATACGAAATACCGTGTCTAATTAAATAGCAGACAATGGCGTGTATTCTGTGATTGGACTGGATTTTGGTTTGAGAATAAAAAAACAATATGCCTTTCTGTTTGTAATCAAGGAAGTTTCAGTTATATTTAGTGACCAGTATACATCTGTATATATAGGTCATTATGTCTGTTGAAGGAAATAAGAGGAAGGAATTAAAGTAGGTTATTACAGAGCACCGTATTAAACATGGTATTGTTTTAGTCTGGAATTTCCTACGGAAATATTTCACACAATTTAATATAGTTTTGTCAGCTAAAAACATGTAGACTCTTCTAATGTACTTCCTTATCCTGGTTTTACATCAGCTAAAACTAGAACGCTGTGGGTTGTTGTTGCTTCTTATCCTGGTTTTACAACAGCTAAAACTAGAACGCTGTGGGTTGTTGATGCTTCTTATCCTGGTTTTACAACAGCTAAAACTAGAACGTTGTTGGTTGTTGTTGCTTCTTATCCTGGTTTTACAACAGCTAAAACTAGAACGTTGTAGGTTGTTGTTGCTTCTTATCCTGGTTTTACAACAGCTAAAACTAGAACGCTGTGGGTTGTTGATGCTTCTTATCCTGGTTTTACAACAGCTAAAACTAGAACGTTGTGGGTTGTTGTTGCTTCTTATCCTGGTTTTACAACAGCTAAAACTAGAACGTTGTAGGTTGTTGTTGCTTCTTATCCTGGTTTTACAACAGCTAAAACTAAAACGTTGTTGGTTGTTGTTGCTTCTTATCCTGGTTTTACAACAGCTAAAACTAGAACATTGTTGGTTGTTGTTGCTTCTTATCCTGGTTTTACAACAGCTAAAACTAGAACGTTGTTGGTTGTTGTTGCTTCTTATCCTGGTTTTACAACAGCTAAAACTAGAACGTTGTAGGTTGTTGTTGCTTCTTATCCTGGTTTTACAACAGCTAAAACTAGAACATTGTTGGTTGTTGTTGCTTCTTATCCTGGTTTTACAACAGCTAAAACTAGAACGTTGTGGGTTGTTGTTGCTTCTTATCCTGGTTTTACAACAGCTAAAGCTAGAACGTTGTGGGTTGTTGTTGCTTCTTATCCTGGTTTTACAACAGCTAAAGCTAGAACGTTGTGGGTTGTTGTTGCTTCTTATCCTGGTTTTACAACAGCTAAAACTAGAACGTTGTGGGTTGTTGTTGCTTCTTATCCTGGTTTTACACAGCTAAAACTAGAACGTTGTGGGTTGTTGTTGCTTCTTATCCTGGTTTTACATCAGCTAAAACTAGAACGTTGTGGGTTGTTGTTGCTTCTTATCCTGGTTTTACAACAGCTAAAGCTAGAACGTTGTGGGTTGTTGTTGCTTCTTATCCTGGTTTTACACTAGCTAAAACTAGAACGTATGTGGGTTGTTGTTGCTTCTTATCCTGGTTTTACATCAGCTAAAACTAGAACGTTGTGGGTTGTTGTTGCTTCTTATCCTGGTTTCAGTGCAGCTAAAATTGGAACGTTATAGGTTGTTCGTATGCTGTTTCGGCTCGGTGAAACTAAAACCGGAACATTCTTTTCATGGTTTCAGAGCATCCAAAACGTTGGAGGTGTTAGTGAAAGTCAAGCTTTTTCAACTGCTCGAAAATGGTGTTGTTTTTTTTCCCACATGTAAACCGGAAAAAATTGCCCTTTGATAAGTGTTAAGGGTCATATATTTATATATTACGAAACGAAACTATTCAGTGGGTTGGAACTTTTGGTCAAGTCAGTTTTATGGAATCATTTTTTTCAAATACTTTCTTGCTGTATAAATATTTTCACTGTTAATACATCCACTGTAGAGCGATATAGAAATACTTATCGCGAACATATACATTCAAAATAACAATAATCGATTTTTGCTGCCGAAACTAAAATAGAGCAATAACACAATTAAACCCACCATAGAAATAAGTTTCATAACTGAATTTTATAAAAAAAAAATTCTACCAGCCTCTTGCATGCAAAAACATCATTTATGAAATTTTTTAATTCAGCTTAGAGTTGTGTCCCTTGAAATAAATAAATTTGGTGGGTGCATATAACACGTTACATATTTTGTTCTATTTTCAGATTGTCAGGATGTGAAGGACAAGGGGAATGATCAGCCAGGAGTCTATGGAATCATGCCCGATAATTCTGCTTTTACAACATTTGCATATTGTCAAGATGGTTGGACGTTTATACAGCGGAGATATGACGGTTCTGTACCATTTAACAGGTAGGGCAACTTATATTTACATAAGGCCTTCCCTGTTTCATCCAATCAAACTAAGGATAGCAACAGGCGTATTATAGTCAGAAAAGGAATAACCAGTATTCCTCAATAGAGCAGATATTAAAGCAATAAAAAGGCCTAGGCCTATTAGAAACATACAAAATTTTGATCCGGAGATGACAAGACCTGTCACCATTTTGAATTTTCAATGTCGAAGTGAACCCCTTAATTAGCCAGTAAATTCACTGTCACAGTGGATTCCTAAATGACAGACCCATTAGATAAGTATTTAGGCTACCACAATCTGATGATAGTTACAGTATCTGCAGGCTAATGCCGCTGTCCTGGCAAAATTTCCCTCATGGCACCCTGCATGGCGTTGCCCGTCTTCATTAGCCCACAAGGTGCAGAAAAGTAGGACGTAAAACTCCATTCATTTCATTTCATTTTTTGGAAACGAAACAGTTTTACATGTAAAAAGGGAGATAACCCAAATTACAAATGAAATTTTCAATTTTGGTTTCAGATCGTACGATGAGTATGTGAAAGGATTTGGTAATTTCTCCGGAGAGTTCTGGCTCGGCCTCGAAAACATGCATCTTCTGACGACACAAGAATCATACACCCTGAGAGTAGACATGGAGACATCGAACACCAAATTTTACTACGCCATGTACAATGAGTTCCGAATCGAAAACGAGACCGAGGGATACAGTCTCCAATATGGCAACATGACAGCTGGTAACCTTGGTGATGGATTATCCACCGCTAAAGGCCGCCCCTTCAGCACACGTGACCGTGATCGTGACAACTGGGGCTATGGTAACTGTGCCCAATTTTATCACAGTGGCTTCTGGCTTGATCGTTGTGGCACTGACTTGAATAGGATTCCAAAATTTGCTACTTACGGTGGAATGCGCTGGGACAGAGTAGTGGTGAAATCGTCACTCATGAGGATCAAACCCACACGTGAAGTAAGCAAAAACGAATTCAATCTAGTACCGTAACTAAGAGTGACGTCAGCTAGAATTTTTTTTAGCGGGAAATGCAGATATTTGTGAATAGTGATAATTTTATACTTTCTTTATTAACATCGAAACTTTATTATTGGAATATTAATTTATACAGACATAGAAGGCATAATCGTGAGCTTAGAAATTGGAACTTTCAAATTTCAGTCAATGTAAATCATATTTCAAATAAATTTTACATGAATATTGACCAATCAGATGACACACCAAAATCCCACCAAGGGATTGTAAAGAGGTTTTCTAAATTTCGTATGTGTATCGAGGACACTAATTGCATCAATTTGCGCCATTCCAATTTTCATTCCGACGTCTATGGTTTCTGAAACTCCCACTTAAACGAAGCATTATATGACGTTACTAATCGCAAAGTCCTTATGTATAATGAAAAAATTCTTATGGATTACAATTACTAACTTTATTTGAGCGACGGTTCGACCAGTGTTCTCTGG